GGCTGCTCGGCGGGCGGGGGGCGCGGGTGGGACCGGCCCGGGAGCGGCGGGCGGGCGCGCGCGAGGACCCCGCGCCAGCCGAGAGTCGTCGGGGGCAGGTGAGCGCTCGTTCCCCGCACTCGAACGCCCGGCGCGCTGGGAGCCCCTCCCCGCCTGGCACAGGCCGGGGGCGGAGCGTCGGAGCGCACGCGGGAGGAGCCGCGACTTAGCGAGAGGGAAGGAGCCACCTGGCTGCGTGCTGGGGCGGGTAGGCGCGCGGGCCGAGGGGACAGCGCGAGCGAAAGCCCGCAGGCGGGAAGCAGCAGGGGTGCCGGGGCAGGGGACGGCCGGGCCGAGGGCTGGAGCTTTCCGAGCGTCCGAGACGCGACGGCGGCTGGGTCGGGAGAGGTTGGGGCAGGACCCGAGCCGAGGACAGGCCCCGCCCCGCGCCCGCGGGTCTGTGGCTTTTCCGTCTGGTCCCTGCGGTTGGGGGCCATATATCCCCGCTCCGGCCGCGTGCTCTCCGCGTGTCAGTGAGCAGGGACGTCCCATCCCACCAGCGCCGGCGGTGGTCGCGGAGCCCCGGCGCCCACTGCGCGCTCCGCTGGTAGGTGCTGGGGACGCACCGCGGGAGGCCGGCCCCTTGCTGGGATCTGAGCGCCCGCTCGCCCCCGCCTCTTTGGCGACAGTGGCGCCTCAGCGGTTGGCAGTGATGGGCATCTATGTGGCCCCTTCTCTTTGGGGACCCGAGAAGCGATCTCAGCTGCAGGTCACGGCCCCGTTCTCGTGAGCAGGGACCAACAGCCTGGTGACCAGCAACCAGGTCAGAAGCGCACAGTTAGAGGGCTGGCACCTGCGCCCGCGTGGGAGGGAGCGGGCACCCCCTCACCCGCCCAGCCTCCCCAGCCACTGGAAGGCGGCCTGTGTGCAGTGTGGCCCTGCCGCACGCTGAGGACTCAGCCCTCTGGGGTTGGCAGGTTCCCTCGGGAGCAGTGAAGGATCCGACCTTTGGGGTCAGTAGTGTCTTCCCAACGTCCCAGCCTGGCGGAGCGGGACTGCACAGCAAGACCCTCACGTGGAGGAGCAAGCAGAGCGCACCTGAGCCTGGGACAGAGCAGGGAGGCATTTTGTTGCCATGGTTGAGTTGTAGCTTTTTATATGGTCTGGATATCAATCCCTCATCAGATATGTAATTTGCAAACATTTTCTCCCACTCTGGGGGTTGTGTTTTCACCCTTCAATTGTGGTCTTTGGCACACACATTTTTCATTCCGATGACACTCAGTGTATCTGCCGCTGCGTGTGGTCTGCACCTCTGGTGTCCAGACTAAGCAATCATGGCCCGATCCCGATCCGATGCCAAGGACCTTCCCCGTCTCCTTCCGAGAGTTTTCAGAGTGTTAGTCCTTATGCTTAGGTCTCTGGCACATTTTGAGCTGGTTCGGCACGTGCTCTGAGGGAAGGTCCAGCCTCACAGCTTTGCATGCGGAGCTTCCTCCTTTGTTTAAACTAGCCCCGCAGAACCCGCAGAACCCGTGTGTGCAGGGCCCCAGGCCCAGCAGGGCACCCAGGGGAGCGGGAGGTCCCAGCCCTACTCAGGCAGCTCCCCCACAAAGCGATTGGGCCGCGGGTGGGCACATGACCTGGCAGTCAGCCAGATGGTTCCCCAGGGTTTTATACACACTGCTTCTGCACAAACCCCTCGCCTCTCCAAGCCTCAGTTTCTCCTTTGCACCCATGGAGCCAGACCAGTCAGGGCCCCTCTCCCTAACCCAACCCCACCCCATCCCCCAGCTAAACGCTGGAGGATGCTCACAACCCCCACCAACCCCCTCACAGCTCTGTCCCCCAGGACAGGACTTCTGTGTTGGCTGGAACTGAGCACCAGGGCTGAGGGCCGGTGTCTCCTCCACCCCTCACCAGCCGACAGGAACCAGGGCCTTGTCCCACTCTTCCTGTTCCACAACCTTCTATAGCTCCCAGAGCCCACAGGCCCAGGCCCAGGCCCTCCAGCACCATACCCCACGCCTAATCCGCCTCCCCAAACTGCGCCCCTCCTTACTTTCCAAGCCCCCCCCACCTGGCCAGCCCTGCCACTCTGGCCAGGACTGGAGCTGGGTCCCCGCAGCCCTGGTCTCTTTGCTTTCCACCTGCTGTCTGTGGCTAATTGATGAGGACACCACGGCCCTGTGCAAACATCCTCAGGAGAAAGATGGTGTACTCAAGGTGGCCATCCACGGGGGGAGGGAGGGGCACTTCATCACCGGAACACCCCAATAGCCACCTCCCTCTGGGCCACTGCAGACCTCCCTGGCCAGCCTAGCAGAGACCCCCAACGCCCCTCAGGGCTTCTACTCCTCTGGCATAAGGGGGGCTGTGAGCATGTGGGGTTCATCCACTGAGAGCACAGGACCAGGTGTGGGTGATGGGGTAGTGACCCAGGACCCGGGGAGGAGGAGGAGGGAGGGAGGAAGGAAAAAGGGAGGGAATGAATGAATGAATGAGTGAACTAATGAGAGCAAGTCACTTCCAGCTGTACACCAGCTTACCGCCTTGGAAACTTGCCCGCCCCCCAGCCGTCCAGGTTGCCCCACTAACGCCCCGCCGCGCACCCCCGGGGCTGACCCCGGTCGGGGCTCAGGGACACCTGCCACCGCCAGACCCCCGGCCGCCGACCGAGGCGCCCCCTGCCCATCTGCTAAGTGGGGTATGGGGGCCCGACGGGGACGCCGCGCGGGGCGGGACAGGCCGCGCGTTGGCAACGGGATGTCCTGCGAGCCCGGGGTCGGCTGGAGAGCGCGGGCCCGGCGCCCCTCCCCCACCGGCTCGCAGGCCCCGCTCCCCTCCCCCACCGCAGCCGGCGCCCGGGTTAGGGAGCGTCCACACTTCTCCTCCCGTCGGTCGTGCGCGCGGTCGGCCTTCTGTACGGGGTCAGCTCATTGGGCGCATTCGGAGGACGCCCCACCCACAGCCCCGAACTGGCCAATTGCAAGGGGCTTCTCAGGGCGCTGAACTCCGGGTTCGTCACCGTCCTGCGACGCTTGGGGGATCCTTAGGCCTCGGTGGCCTTTGGCCCCCCGCCCCGGGCCCTGACCCCAAGGAAACCTCCAGGACCTGCGCCCGGAGAGGTGCCCGCCGGGCATCCGGGGAGCCCTTGGAGATCGCGTCCTCCCTTTTCTCCCGCGGCTCGTCGGCGTGTCCTCGAGTGGACGCGCGCACCCCGAAGGGGAGTTTGCAGACGCTCCCTCACTTCGGGGACGCGGCTCCTTTAAGGGCGTAGCTGTCCAGGGCGCCGCCTGACTGGAAAGTCGCCGCCGGGCCGGGCTCCCCGGCCGGGCTCGGGGCGCGGGCGCGCGGCGGCCTCCCGGGTGCCGGGCTCGGGGCGCGGGCGCCTGACCCTCTCCCGGGTGCCGGGCTCGGGGCGCCGGCGTCCCGCGCGGGGGCCGGGGAGGCGCTCCGGGGCCGGCGCGCGGGAAATCTCGGAACTTCGAGGCTGGGGGAAAGCCGTGTGCGGAAGCGGGCAGTCCTCGCCCGGTGATCTCAGGTGGATTGAGACTTACTGTGTTAGCGCCTTAACGGACTTTGGCGCCTCAGTGACTTCGTTAGTTTGGGAAAAGAAAAAGTGCAGATTATTTATTAAAAGACTCCCCTTCCGGCTGGGCGCTGTGGCTCGCGCCTGTAATCCTAGCACTCTGGGAGGCCGAGGAAGAGAGAGATCACCACAGCCCGAACTGGCCAATTGCAAGGGGCTTCTCAGGGCGCTGAACTCCGGTTCGTCACCGTCCTGCGACGCTTGGGGGATCCTTAGGCCTCGGTGGCTTTGGCCCCCGCCCCGGGCCTGACCCCAAGGAAACCTCCAGGACCTGCGCCCGGAGAGGTGCCCGCCGGGCATCCGGGAGCCCTTGGAGATCGCGTCCTCCCTTTTCTCCCGCGGCTCGTCGGCGTGTCCTCGAGTGGACGCGCGCACCCCGAAGGGGAGTTTGCAGACGCTCCCTCACTTCGGGACGCGGCTCCTTTAAGGGCGTAGCTGTCCAGGGCGCCGCCTGACTGGAAAGTCGCCGCCGGGCCGGGCTCCGGCCGGGCTCGGGCGCGGGCGCGCGGCGGCGGGCGCGGGCGGCAGGGCGCGCGCGGGCGCGGCGGCGGGGCGGGGCGCGGCGGCGCGGCGCGGGACCGGCGCGCGGAGGCAGCCCGCCAGGCCCGCCCCGCGCGCCCCGCCCGCGCCGGGGTCCTCGGAGCTCTCGGGCTGCGCGCGGAGCGGGCTCCGGAGGGAAGTCCCGAGACAAAGGGAAGCGCCGCCGCCGCCCCGCTCGGCCCTCCGCCTGTCCGCGACGCTCGCCGGGGCCGCGGCCGCCCGAGGTGAGCGCGGGCCGGGCGGGGCAGGGCCTCCGCCGGCCGCGCCTGCCCCGCGCGCCGCTCCCCGCGCCGCGAGGCCGCCGGCTGGTCCGCGCTGTCGCGCCGCGGGCCGCGCAGGCCTCCGGGCTGGGCGCAGGCCGGGCCCGCTCGCCGCGGCCGCGCAGTCGCCCGTCTCCGCGCCGGGCGGGGCCGCCTGCACCGGGCGCGGCACGG